CAGGTTCCGGGTTGAAGTGGCATTTCATGGCCCAGACAGTTCCAGATGCCAGGATACCTTACCCTGCTCGGTTCCACAGACCCTGGGCCCTCAGAGACTTGATCAGGTTGGGTCTGGCAGGGTAAAGACGGGCCTGCAGGCTTCCCCGGCTTCTGGATTTGCTTTGTAGAGCTGAGCAGGTAAGCTAGGCAGAAAGGGATGACTTCTGTCCTCCCCTCACTCCAAGAGACCACAGGACAAGTCACCGAATCTCAGAGCCTCAGTTTCCCCCACTAACCTCCCCAAACCCTTTTTATTGCTGAGATCTCAAGGAGATGCCGACTGGTGAGCATGGTGAACCATAGAGACCCTGTCTGGTGGGAGGGACTGTTGTCTCTCAGGCTCCCAGCCCAGGCTAACTCAGGAGGCTCAGCAGCCTCCAGGGTCCTCTGCTGGGTTTCCACCCACTCCTGGTCCCCTCTCCTAGCCATCTGCTAAGGCACACACATTTCACAACTGGAAGGCCCCAGACCCTCCCTGTGGTGAGAACTACCTGGCCTTTCAGGCATCCAAGACAAAGGACTTGAGGAGCTGCTCACTGCAACAGTCCTGGCACTGGAAGATCCTCAGCCCCTTTGCCCATCCCCCACCAAGGGCATCTGGAGCAGATGGGAAGCCCCTGCTCCTGAATCAGACTCATTCCCCTCCCAGCCCAGCCACCAGCTACCGAGGGCCTCCCCATCCCGTCTGGGGGATGGGGAATGAACAGCCACAGTCAAGGACTGTGCCTGCCCAGCCTGAAGATAGATGCCTAGAGGAAGGTGTCCCAGCTGCAATGCCAGAAGGGTCACCCAGGCTGGACCTCTGGACTCCCAGGGGATCAACCAGCTATAAAAGAGGTTTCTAGAGGCCTTCTTAGGAAGACCTGTGAGCACCCCCCCCCCCAGGGCAGGAATGGGGAGGAGAGCCAGGCCTAACCACTCATCCATCCCACTTCTCCCATGGAGAGGAGGGGTGAAGCAGCTCTAAAGGAAAGATGAGCAAGGGGCTCAGGGCACCCAGCTGCAGAGGACAAGGCCCCAGCTATATCCAGACTAGGAAACTGGCTGACATGCCCCTTCCCGCAGAGCTAGATGCACACTGGCCCTTTTCCATCCCGGGCCTCAGTATTTCCTCATTTATCAAATTGGGATTAATGGGTCTGTCACAGGTTTGGCAATTTCAGGTGAGGGTGAATTCTCTGTCAAGTTGGCCAGGCAAGTGGAAGGCATGTATGCTGGCTGGATTTTTCCAACGGGTACTCAGGAGGGATTAGTGCCCCATCCCCCAACACTACCGATCCATTGCTGTCCCAACCCAACCCACCTGGGGACTGCTGCCATTTTTTATTAGCCAGAGTAGGAGGGATGTCTCTGCTAAGGGGGAAGATGTGGGGGCACACATTCAGGCTTTTCCCTGCAAACACTACCCCTCGACCACGAGCACCAGCAGGCTCCGTCCTGTTCCTGAGATCAAAGCAATGGCTCAATCTGTCCAATCAGCAGTAGAGGTACTTGCTAAAAATGCCCAGTTCCCAAGCTGGCCACACTTGTATTAAAATTCACCAAGGTATGGCCCAGTCAGCCACCTAAGAAAAACACTGGGTCAGCAGCTGCGTCCCAAGCCTCACTAGGACTACAGTCCATCCTCCCAGAACTGAGACAGAGACAGATGACTGGCCAGTCACCTGGCTCTGGTGTCTCTGAGAGGTGAATCTCCATATGCATGCTTGGCTTCTAACTCAGCATGGGGGTATTCCACAACTCCTGGAGGCGGCTTCTAAGCAGGATGGAGAACCTCAATGCTCTGGCTAGACCCAGAGACCCTTGCAACAGCTAAGAAAGGGTCTCTCATTGCTTAGCACACCCATGTCAGCCACAGGGTCCCGACCATCCTTGAAAAGGGCCTCCCTACTCAGTACTTTATAATAACAGCTGTAAGTGAACAGAGAAGGGATTCAGGGGCAACCTTGGGCAGCCTTGGCTTAGCCCCTCACTCTGCCCTGATTGAGGGTCTCTCCTTTGAAATCCAAATTTCCCACTTGGGTAAAGAACCCACCTCATTTTCCCCTGGGATGCAGGAACCCTCCGCAGATCTTGCAGAGAGGCACATGAAGCTGGGGGACCAAGCCAGGAGCACAGCACACGCACACCCCAGTCCTTCTTCTCTGCTAAGGAGCCCCAAATGCCTCCCAAAAAGCAGAACTGCAGGCCCCATCCTCAACATCTGGTCCCCCAGCCACAGCTGTTACCCTCCTCCTTCATCCTGGGATTGCCCCAAACCCTGCCCAGCACTGGCACCGCCCTCTCCCATAAGTGGGAAATTCAGATTCCAGGAGAATCCAGCTGGGGAGTCGGAAATGTGCATGGGAAAATGTCGCGAGGAAAAACACATTCTTCACTCTACACCGGAGCCAGCACAGACCCTGGAACAATTTAGGTGGCCAGTGGACCCTCCCACTGCACAGGGCCAAGGCTGGGCCAGCCTTGGAGGGGAGCCTGAGACGCAGAGGTGAGGTCCAGCTTCCCTCCAGCCCTAAGGAGGGGCCCTGGCAGACCTTTGTCTGCCTGGGGTCCAGTTTGCCCTCTAACCCCTCACTGGTACTCGCACTGAGGAAAGAGGGCTAGAGAAGAAACTATGGCTACCCTTTTGCAGCTGAGGTTTTTAGAAACAAAAGCTTTGTGGAGATGAGGTTTACACGATTGTTTAAAATGAGGTTTGGGGATGTCTGTGGCATCCAGTTATTCATACTGGCTCCACCCACGGATAATTGAGAGTTGGCTTTTGTTGGATGTATCCTTTCTCCCTGCCCCCACTGACAGGCCAACCTAGTCTTAGGACTCAGAAAACTCACCTTGCCTGACCCTAGAGTTTACAGATGAGGAAACTGAGACCCGGACAGAGGAAGAGCCAGGCCAAAGAACACCCAAAAGCTGGTGGTTATGCCAAGATTCGAACCCAAGACGCAAAAAGTGTGTTTTGGCCAGGAGCTTTTTCCCATTCACTCTACACAGACTGTGTCCTGGCTCAAGCAAGTCCCCAAAAGCCACTGACCCCAAAAGCTGTAGTGCCTGGAAGTGGGGTGACTCATTGTCTGGCTTCCCAGCCCCCCCATCAATGAGGGAGGGCTGGCAGGTGTCCCTGTATAGAGAGCCAAGAGCGGCAGAGTTGCCCCAGGGGGCCAGGGCTAGGGTCACTCTGGGGACGGAGAGCCCCAGCTGGAGGGATTTAACACCAAAGGTCAGGGGTCACAGACAGGGAAGGGCAGGCAGGCACAGGGGGTCAGGGGGTCAGCACTAATGGTAGCTCCGGAAAGAGGGGGGAGGGGGAAAGGCTAAAAAAACAGGTCTGCTTCCAAGGGGTCCCCACCCCACAAAACCAATGCTGGTACAGCCTCCTGCTTAGCAGCAGACAGGGATATACTGAGCTAGGAATGATCTGGGAATGGGCTAGACTGCAGCTCAGCAAGGGGTGTCTTAGGAGACCCCCCCCAGGTGCAGCCCCTCCCCCAGTACAGTCCAGGGCCAGCTGTGAGGCCCAGCCTGAGCCCAGAGGGAAGAAAAGAGGAGGCGAGAGGGAGGCCTCTGAGGTCACTAGAGAGGGATGTGTGGGCTGGGATGAGACAGCTGTGGTACTGTGCCACCAGAGTGGGGCCTGGGGAGAGGTGGGCACACTGAAGTGGCCACTTTACACTCCCTGATCCAAGGGGCTTCAGAAAGCTGGCAAGGATAGCAGTTGTCTCCCTAGCCACTGGTTCAGCCCCACCTTCCTCCCGGGTGCCAGGACAGCTGAGAGGCTGCTGTGCAGGGTACCTGCCACAGAGGACCAAGACTCAGGCCCTAACCCTGTCCCAGACGAAGACCCATGGGAGCTCAGGCCTTGGTAGGGCCATTGGCTGGCCTGGCTGCCCCCTTGGTGTCAAGCATTCCCTCCAGAGCCAAGATCTTGGGCTGTGATGGCTGGGGGCCCAGGGCTCCTCCCAGCATCCCTTCCAGCTTCCCAGGCCCCAGGGCAGGGCTGGGCAACTCCCTGTAACCAGTGCTTCCCGGCCACCCTCTGGCTGGGCTGGGCGGGCCCTCCAGGATAGGCAGACAGGCAGCATGCTGCCCTGTTGTGGCCTGAGTACCCTACTGGGCAGGGCAGTGTGCCAAGGCGTCCAGGTGCCAGCCTGGACTCCAGCCCCATCCCAGGGGGCCTGCAGGAAGACACAGGAATCTTCCTGGTAGGAGGAGGATGCACCTGCCTAGCCCCCTCCTCCAGGCCCACCCTTAAGATACAATCACTCAACCCTCCCCATCCTGCCAGGCCCCTCACCTGCTTCCATCCACCTCGCAGGAGTGGACCAAACGCTAGACAGTTCTCCAGCTCCCGGTGCTGAAACAAGGGACGCCCCACTCCCTGCCTTTCCCAGGGCTTGCTAAGGGCAGCAAGAAGACTTTCCCCAGACAGGGAGGGCACCTTCCAAGCAACCTGAGCGCACCGGTGAGCAAAAGGGGCTGCCTGATGCCCCTTACAACTTCATGCCCAGGCTCCGGGTGCCCCCCTCTCACCTCGCAGCGCACCCCCACCGAGACCGCCCAACTTCCCCACTGAAGTTTGCGCCCGCCCCGAGCCCGGCCGCAGTTCGGCTCGGCCTCCAGACAGAAGGAGGGAAGGGAGGAGAAAAGACTGGGAGATCGAAGGACCCAGCCAGGGAGCAGGCAAGGGAGGGAGCGCGCAAACCAGCGAGCGCAGGGGCCTCAGCGAGGGCTCACAATGGCCCGGGGCGAGGCGTGGATGCGGGAGGGGGAGGCGACCCCCGGGCCCCGCGGCCCCGCACAGCAGGCAAGTCCCCGGCCCGGTCCGCGTCCTCCCGGCGCGACCCCGGGGGGCTTCCTACCTCGGCGGCCGGGCTGACTGGCTCCGGCTGCGGGTTCCGGCGGTCGGGGGACAGCGGGGGGCGGGCGAGGGGGAGGGCCGGGGCGGGCGGGGGCCCGGGCGCTAGGCTCACGGGGCGCGGGCTCCCCTGGCGCGGCCGCCCGGCGCCCGGCCGCTCCGCCACATCTGCAGCTCGGGGCAGGGAAGGTGGCCGCGGCGGCCCGGCCGTGCGGGGATGTCTTTGCGAGGGAGGGAGGAGAGAGGAGGAGGGAGGGGGCGGGAGGAGGGACCGTCGGCCGTGGAGGAGGGCGAGGAGGAGGGGCGCGGGGGGCGGCCTCCCTCCCTCGCGGCTCACTCGCTCCCGCCCTCCCTGCAAACCCCTCTCGCCACCGCGGCCCCAGGCCCGGGGCGCCAGCTGCCAGGCGGAGCGTGCGCGTCGGGGGGAGGGGGCGGCCGGCTGGGCCGGGGGAGGGGAGGAAGGGCGGACAGCAGCGGGAGCGGGCACCGGGAAGGAGGGAGGGAGCCCCGCCGTGGCCGAGGCGTGAGTTCTCCTCGACACCCCCCTCGCCTGCCGCGGTCCCGCCCCCGGCCCGAGGGCAGCGCTAGGACACGGCCCGGAGGTGGCCTGGGAGGCGGGGGTGGAGGGGTGGGGGGGGAAGGACGAGATATCCCGCCCCTGGGGAAGCCTGGGAGAGGGGCGGGCGCGCCGGCCTGGAGGAAAAGCCCCAAGGACCGGGAAGATGGAGGAGGCTGCAGCGGCCGAGGGGTGGGGACCCTCGCCTCCTCCTGCGGGGTCACCTTGGCCAGGGCCCCCGCAGCCCTGGGCAGCCGGGAAGGCGGTAGGAATGCCTCTGACAAGGCCCTGATTTCTCCGCCCAGCCCAGTTCCAGGAATGCTCAGACAGAGGCCCTTTCTGATTCTGACAGGTTCGAGGCCACGCTCCGCACTTCCAGCTCTGCCTTGTCTTCAGCCTCAGTTCCCCTCCTGGTGAAATAAGCACAAGGCTTGGCCCCAACAAATCCAGGATTCCGATATCTTGGTGACTGCAGCCGAGACAGCCTGGGTCCCCCGGTCCGAGCGCCGCAGGGGTCTCCACACTTGGGGTCAGTAAGTTCAATGAGTTGGTCACTGAGAAGTGGATGCAAGTCAGTGACGCTTGCACACGGCAGCTAAGCTGTTTTCCACCTTTTCCTGGGAAGCTCGGGCTTGCGTTCTTTAGTGTTTTCTTTGGGTGATTCCTGAGTCCGCGCCTAGGATCTTCTTACCTGTCTTCTGTCTGGTGACAAATTTGGCTTCAAAAAGACAGCCCTCCTGATCCGAAGCTGGACTTGAGCACAGGAAACGAAAAGGCACTTCAGATCAGCACCCTCAGTAGGTGAAGTACTGACTCCGGTTTGGAATTCTGTTTTCATTTCGACATTTGATACCGCGGTCTGCGCCAGAGCCACATCAAGACGTGGGTCTTGATCACAGGGCATCCCCATCACCAAGCACTGCCCTTGACACATGCTCTTGATCTGGTGCGCAGGTAGGCACATAATTGGTGCTCCTGATGTGGTGAACAAACGCACACGTAGTCAGTACTCTTAACTGATTATGTAGCCATGATGCGTGCTCCTTACATTTGGAACGAAGACACATATTAGGTGCTTATGATCTTTCAGTACATGAAAGGGATTTAGGAAGGACGGTTCACTAGGAGCAAAAGCCGTAAGGCAGGGATAAGGTTGCTCTCCCCATTCCCATTTCTCATGTGTAGATAATGTCACAGTGCTGCCCGGTTAAACATTAGCTGGCAGATGGACTTGGGGAAGGCCAGCTCTGGGACCTAAAGCTTCCAGGAGGGGGCTGTTAAGGGCCGACTCTCTGGATCCTGCCACTAGCGGGACATCACAGAGTCAGAGGCGAAGCGCTGCAAAGCGCCCCCTCCCGGCGTCTTGAATCTATGATTCAAGCTCTTCTCTTAGCCTAGTCCCAGCGCGGAATCTCAGCCCAGCTAACTGCAGTCCTGAGAAGCATCGGTAGTACTAAACTGGCTGGCTAGTATAAATCTCAACTTAGAAAAAAAAAATGCTTATTGAGGAGCTGGGAGTATAGCTCAGTATTACAGTGCATGTTCCTAGGTTCAATCCTTGATACCAGAAAAAAAGTATCAAGTGCTTGTAGGACACCAGGCACTATGTAATTGTAGGGACAAAAGGCCAACAACTGGGAGAGACTTGGCCCTAACAAACTTCACCTTCAAAATTTATTTTTTTTCGTTTTGCTCCCAGGAAGAACTCAGACCCAGGATCCCGAGTGTCTGGGAACATGGAGGTACACTTACATTATATAGACTAATACCACCATTAAATGGCAAGCCTGGCCCGATTCCAGGACCAAGCTTGTGCCCTCATAACTACCGAGGGTTGGGAGGGGAACCTAAACAAAATTTGTCTGTTTCCTACAAAACTAACAAGATTAAAGAAAGAAGCCTGGAATCCAGCACTCTGGAGAATCACCACAAGTTGGAGGTCAGCCTGAACTATATAGTAAATTCAGGGCAGCCTAGGCTACAAAATGAAATCCTATCTCCAGCATTTAAAAAATAAAAGTGTAGCCGGGCGGTGGTGGCGCACGCCTTTAATCCCAGCACTCGGGAGGCAGAGCCAGGCGGATCTCTGTGAGTTCGAGGCCAGCCTGGGCTACCAAGTGAGTCCCAGGAAAGGCGCAAAGCTACACAGAGAAACCCTGTCTCGAAAAACCAAAAAAATAAAATAAAATAAAATAAAAAAATAAAAGTGTTTGAAGCCAGCCCAATTCATATAGCAGGTCCCAGGACAGAAAGGGCTACACAGGACGACCCTGTCTCAAAATAAAACTGTAAGAGTGAAGATAGATTGCTAAACTAGGTGTGGTAGTGGCTCAAGTCCGCAATCAGAACCTGGATTTTAAGGCTGGCTTTGGGGCCAAGATTCTATCTCAAAACCCCAATCCTCAACTAGACAAATTCCTTCTCTGCGCCGTTTTCTTTATACCTTTTCACTATATTCTCAACAACTTCAAGAGTGGGCCCCATTATTCTCATTTTACAGAGGTAGAAACCAAGGCAAAAGGACATTAACATAGCCAAAGTTTTTTGTTGTTTTTGTTTTTCGAGACAGGGTTTCTCTGTGTAGCCCTGGCTGTCCTCGAACTCGAGATCCGCCTGCCTCTGCCTCCTGAGAGCTGGGATTAAAGGCGTGCACCACGGCCTAGTGATAGCCAAAGTTTTATAAGCTAGTGGGAGGCATAATTCAGGTTGCAATCTCAATGGATCTGAGGCTTGATTCCAAAGCCTGTACTTGAACCCTCTGCCTCTCTAGGACATGAGATATCTGAAAAGGTAGGGGATCAAAGGGTTTTCTTGGGATTCTTCATGGTAAACAGTGGGTAAAGGGGACATTCCTCTCTGGTCTTAGTCTCTTGGTGGTGGTTCTCTGCTCCCTTGGAGCCTCTCTCCGAGCAGGCACTCTTCCTCGTGTGCCCAGAACTGAAAGGAGGGTAGTTTTCCCTCTAGATGGCACGTCCCCCCACCCCAAGGCTGGACTCACTGACATTGCTCTGAGTTTTCCCTTTCAGGGGAGTAAAGGCTCCCTAAGAATGACTGGTTGATACATTTGAGTTTGGTGTCCTAATCCTTTACTAGTAAACATGTATTGAACCGGGGTATGGCGAGGTGGTGCAACACTTTTGAGTATGACCAAAAACAAAACAAAGCCAAAAATAAAAAATAAAAAACATGTATTGAACATGTCTTCAGTTCACATCCATTCAATAGATACTCACTAAGATCTTTTTTTGTTTGTTGGTTAGTTTTTTGAAACAGGGTCTCACTGTGTGACCCTAGCTGAACTGAACTCATTTTGTAGACCAGGCTGGTCTTGAACGCGGAGAGGTCTGGAGAGATGGCTCAGTAGTCAAGAGTACTCTCTGCTCTTGAGGAGGACCCAGGTTCAGTTCCCAGCACCCACATGGTGGCTCACAAACATCTGCAACTTCAGTGGCAGGGGGATCAGATGTCCTCTTCTGACCTCCACTGTCACCAGACACTTATGTGGTACACATACATACATGCAGGTAAAACACATGCACATAAAAAAATAAATCTTTTAAAAAAAGAAAAACTCAAAGATCTGCCTGCCTCTCCTCCTGAGTGCTGAGATCAAAGGCTTGTGATACTATACCTAGCTGATTATTAAGCTCTTATGGGTCCATTTGTTGTTTATTGAAGGTTGGTTGTCTGTTCTGGGCTAGGCAACACCACCCATGCCTTTAAGGAGATCACTGACTCTAGGGGGACCTCTGACCTGTCATACCCCCAAAGGATCACTGCTCATGCTCATCACGTACATGAGTGCCATGTACAATATAGGAGTTTCTGGCTCTTCAATTAACACAAGGGGTTAGGTCTATAAAGAAATCAGAGTCATAGGGAAGATTCTGTCTTTTTGGAGTCTGAGGCAGAGTGTAAACGATGCAAAACAACATAAAGAAATGCGTCTTGAACTAAGGATGGAGCTCAATGGTAATGCATTTCCCTAGCATTGGCAAGGCCCAGTTCCAGCCCTAGCACCACCAAAAAGAATTGAAAAGTTGGTATAGAGGCAGGAAGATCAGAGTTCAAGGTCATCCTCCATTACACAATAATTCTGGGCCAGCCTGGTATGTATAAAATCTTATCTTCAGAATTAAATGTGTGTTGGGCAGCGGTGGTGCGCGCTTTTAATCCCAGCACCTGGGAGGCAGAACCAGGTGGATCTTGGTGAGTTCAAGGCCAGCCTGGTCTACAGAGTGAGTTCCAGAACAGGCACCAAAACCACACAGAGAAACCCTGTCTCGAAAAAGAAAACAAAACAAAAAAGAATTAAATGTGTGGGGTGAGGGGGGTGGGGGTGGGGTGGATGGACTGGAGAGATGGCTCAAAGGTTAAGGTTACTGGCTGTTTTTTCCAGAGGTCCTGAGTTCAGTTCCCAGCAACCACATTGTGGCTCACATCCATCTATAATGAGATCTGGTGCCCTCTTCTGGCCTGCAGGCATACATGCAGGCAGAACACTGTATGCATAATAAATCTTTAAAAAAGAATTAAATGGGGATGGGAGGAGGAACTGGGAGGGAGGGGGAAACTTTGGGAGGATATTAAAAAAACAAAACCAGAGAATTAAGTAGGTACCGAAGAGACGCACAGCAGCTAAGAGCACTTGCTGCTCTTGCAGAAGCTCTGGGTTCCATTCCCACAACCACCCATAACTCCAGTTCAAGGGGCACCAAGCATGCATGCACATGGTGCACATGCATACAAGCAGGGAAAATACAAATAAACATGAACTAAAATAAAATGAGCCTTTAGGCTTATGGTGCAAAGCCAGGTGTGGTAGCATGGCCCTTTAATACCAGCACTCAGAAGCAGGTAGATCTCTGAAAGTTTGAGACCTTATGCTGAAAAACTGAAGAGACCATAGGACTCAGGATGAGTAAACAGGTCTCAAACCACTGCTGCCTGTACCCAAGCAGGCTTTCCAAGCCTCACTCCTCACCTGTAGGACAGACCACGGTCTGCAGGATCCTTTATGGGGCTGCATGAGGCTCATGGAAAAGGCTTCCAGTGTGGCTGGAAAAGAACAGGAAACAAATGGTAACATTATTGTTCTTCTTGAAGCTAGAGCCGGTGTTGAGCAAGGCCTGGGTAAAAGGAGTGACAGGCATGAGAGCAGGGTGACTTATTAACCTTGAGCTGTGGGCTTTGTGAGCAGTGAGCAACAATCCAGCAATCCGTTGAGTAGCACGGGCCTTGCTGAGCCTCCAGGCTGGGGCTGCCTATGGGTGGGGTGTTTATTCTGGAAGTGGTCCTGGTGGTTCCTTACAGCCTTCTCCAGGAGAAAAAGCAGGCCTAGAGTGGGAATTAAGGCCCACCCTGGGCCTGGCTATACAGTGCAGTGGCCCCTGCCTACAGGGCCAAGGGGAAAATGTCCAGGACACACACTCCTAAAACCCGGCGAGGTCTGGCAGTTTGAGGACACACTGGAAGATCCGTCCTACAGAGCCTCAAGTGCTCATGTTTCCGAAGTTGGGACTAGGCCCTGGATGCTCCGGGGGAAGAATAACACTGCAAGTGGGGATATCCATACGGGCAACTCCACCCTTAGAAAAGTCCCTGCCTGGATTCTTTCGGCAGTCTGGCTTCGCAGACGTGCAGCCCTGCAGTTTCACTGAACTGGCACACTGAAGTGACAGAGCGGTTGGAATGTCTGGCTGTCCCCGGGGCCTGCATTTTATTTTGCCTAAGAAGTCTGTCCTGTGTTGGAACTTTGGTTTCCCTGGGACTTAGCTTCTCCCTCACATGTCGAAAGCCCCAGCTGCTGAAGGGCGCGGCAGAAGACCAGCCACCTGGAAGGTCCGCTGTGTCATCCCATCAAATCCCAGTTCTTGAGTTTGTGTCCTAACACTGTACATCAGTGAAATAGTGGAGAAGTTGTTAAATGTAAATTTTGACTCCTTGTTGGGAGGTTTAAAAGGTAGTCCATATAGAGGGCCCAGAAACACCTGCTCAGAAAATCCGAACTATCATATTCTCCTTTTGAAGCATGTGGCCAAAGGTCTAGCTCAGTTGAAGAATGCTTGCCTAGCGTGCTTGAGGTGCTGGGTTTGCAACCCATCCACTGAAAAAAAGAAAAAAATCTATTTACAGGCACCAAGAAGGAGCTAGCAGCGGGTCCCCCCTCATTTCTACCGACCTTTCCCAGGGGAGAGGAGCAGTCCTTCCCCTGGCCTCTGCTCCTTCCCTCGCAGGGAGGAGACCCCACAGACACACCCTGGGGCAGGGAGGAGCGGCCGCGACACATTTTTGAGTCGTGACCAAGTGGAAACTCCCTCCCCAAAGCGGAAGCCGGGGGCGCCCCACTGGGGCCTGAGCCTCCGCCGGGGCGGGATCCCAGGCCGGGGGGCGGGGCGCTGCGGGCGAGCTGGGCCCCGCCCCCACACTTCATGAATATGATGACTATGAATGAGGCGACTGGGGGCGGAAGTGCGAGCGGACCCCAGCTCTGCCCACGCCGCGGGAGCCGTGCGGCTGGAGGCGTGGCTAGCCTGGGACGCCCCGCCCCTCCCGCTGTGCGGGGCCTCCTTCCGGCCGGGCGCGCCCGAGAGGTGACCTCGCGGGTGTGCTCCACTGCCTAGCGCGGGGAGGAGCTCGCGGCCGCCGGTAGGAGTGGCGGAGCTTTGTCCCGCTATCCGTGGTTCCCCCAAGTCTCCGGAGTCAGGCTTGCAGGAGAGGCCGTAGACATTCCTTTACCGGCGTAAAAACTAGAACAGCCTGTCTTCCTGGGGCTTTTAGTTCCAGTTGCAATGAAACACCCAACAAAGTCGAACCTGTAGGCTGTCTATGAGTACAAGGAATAGACATAAAATGGAGAAAGTAGCGGAGAAGATGACTTAAGACCTGAAGGAAGGGGCTTAGAGATGTAGCTCAGTGGTCAAGTACCCAGCACCACATAAAACCGGACTTGGCAGTGCATACCAGAAATCCCGTCACTCTAGAAGGTGGAGGCAGGAGCATCAAGATTCAAGGTCAGTCTCAGCCTACATAGCGATTTTGAGGGCAACGTGCGCTACAAGAAATCTGTCTCAAACACCCGAAGGAAGCAGAGGAACAGGCCATCTGAATGCATTTGGTCGAGGATGCTGCCCGGTGTGGTTGGAGTGGAGAAAAAGAATGGAGTTACGATGGTAATGGCTCATAGTTTTGAGCAGGTGACATGTTAAGTGATATATATAATATATATTATATATATATATATTCATCAGGACAGCTGGAAGTGGGTGGTCTCCTGTTATCTGCAGGAAATCAGGCTCAGGGAGGGTACCATACTTTGTCGAGGAGGTCACCCAGCTTGGCAGATAGGCATTGGGGACTGAGACTGATGGATGTCGTCACGGCCTGAAACAATTGTGAAGACCAGCTGTGGATGACCTTGACCAGAGAGAGATCCTCAGGGTTGGTCCTCCCTTTCCACCCTCATTGCTAGGGTTGGGGGCCAAGACTGACCTCCAGAGGTGAAGGATGGGCAGGCAGGGCCTTTCCTTCTATGAACCAGCCAGCTGTAATGAGCACCCTACATAGAACAAGGGTGTGCTATGGATGTCTTCTTCTGAGAGATGCTTTTGTTGTCTGGGAAGCATGTGTCACCTCTCCAGCCTAGGCAGTCAGTGACAAGTAGCTTTGAAGAGGGAGGGCAGAATGGTGGTGGTGGAGCCCATCCGGGTTTCCTGGTGCCTTTGCCCAGCAGATCTGCATAAAGAGAATGATTGGACCACGGGCCTGAGTATCAGGTGTTTGGAAGGGTGTACGCTTGGCTGTATCTCACAAGGGGGAGGTCTTTGCTCCTCCCCTGGACATTATGATAAAAAGCCCTTTGGGCCGGGCGGCGGTGGTGGCGCACGCCTTTAATCCCAGCACTCGGGAGGCAGAGCCAGGCGGATCTCTGTGAGTTCGAGGCCAGCCTGGACTACCAAGTGAGTTCCAGGAAAGGCGCAAAGCTACACAGAGAAACCCTGTCTCGAAAAACCAAAAAAAAAAAAAAAAAAAAAGCCCTTTGGAATAAAGTTCAGGGCTGGTGGGTTGAGGCCCAGGCCCTCCTGAGGCTATTCTGTGTTTTCTGTTTTTCCTATCATCGGCTAGGTACCTCGTTCTAGCTCATATTTCTCACTTCTCCCTACTCAAGAGTACCCTGAGTCATAAAAGTGGCGGCTGGTCCGTCACAGGGTGGAGCTAGGGAAGGGTAGGGGTGGTGAGGGTAGAGGGTGAGGGTGGAAGACCCCGTACGGCTGCATGCCTTGAAGCATTAACAAAGACAAAGTCAGCAGGCAGGCTGTGTCTTACACCAGCAGCTGAGGAACTGGTGGGATCACCCAGGCATCCCTCACAGCCTGGAGAGGTTAAACCCCTAACAAAACCTAAGACTGCTGGCTGCTCATGGTGGGTGAGAAAGGCCTGCATTGCTGCAGGCCCCTTACAGTGGGAAGTGGGAAAGAAGCAGTTTCCTGCTGTGCCCCATCCAGGGCCTTGTCTAGCTCACCCCTTCCTCAGCTTGGTGCAGCTATCTATCCTGGCCCCTTAGGCGCTCCTGTGAAATGTAGCTAACTTAGGAGCCCAGGCTAGCCCTCCATTTAGAAGAGTTTGGCTTGCCACATGCACCTCTGCTTGGCATCTCTAAGAAAACTGAGATACTGGCGGGAAAGGACCATAATGGAATTCCTTATCAGGCCCATTTGATAAGGAGACTAAGATGGTTTATGGTTCTCCCAAGAGGACACAACTATTAAAGAGACAGGGATGGTATTCAAGTCCAAATTTGACACTAGAGCCTAAGTAGGATATTAACTTAAAAAAAAAAATCAATCAAACAAACAACAACAACAACAACAAAAACCCTTTCTCCAAAACGCACTAGGGGTAGACCAGATGATAGATGAGGCATATGACCAAGGGGAAGGAAGGCACTTTCTATTCTCAGTTCCTGCTCTTTGTCCCCAGGCTTTGGTGTCTGAATGAGTCAGCCAACCTTTCTTAGGGTGGCACAGATAGAGGTGGGGTCAGGGGCCCCTTAGTGGGCAGCTGGTAGTGTCATCTAGTCAGGTTAGGTCTGGGGCTCTGTCCTAGCTGGGCACATTGGGCTCTTGGGACACTTTCTCTTACCCAGGTTTTGAATTACTGGAGCCACTGTATGGGTTGTCACTGACCAGGCATTCATCAAGAATGGGATACTTGGGGCTAGAGAGATGGCTCAGTGGTTAAGAGCACTGACTGCTCTTCCAGAGGACCCGGGTTCAGTTCCCAGCACCCACATGGCAGCTCACAACTGCCTGTAACTCCAGGATCCAACACCCTCACACAGACATACATGCAAGCAAAACACCAATGTGCACGCGCACACACACACACAATGGAATACTAGGCACCCGAGGCAGTGATGGCACACACCTTTAGTTAGTCCCCGCCCTGCATGGGTGTGGGAGGGACAGAGGCAGGCAGATCTCTGAGTTCAAGGCCAGCCTGGTCTACAGATCAAGTTCCAGGATGGCCAAAGCTACACAGAGAAACTCTGTCTTAAAAAAAAAAAACAAACCAAAAAACAAAAAGCAAGCAAACAAAAACCAAAAAGCACCCTTTCTCAAAAAACCAACTAACCTGGAGGCCAACCTGGTTTACAAAGCATGTTCCAGGACAGCCAGAGCTGTTATATAGAGAACCCTGCCTCGGGGGTGGGATATGGGGGGGGCAACTAAAAAAGAGTGGGATGGGGTACTAGGGGCCAGAGGGATGGCTAGGTGGATAAGAGTTTTGGCTACTTTTTTTTTCCAGAGCTGAGTACCGAACCCAGGGCCTTGCGCTTGCTAGGCAAGCGGTCTACCACTGAGCTAATCCCCAACCCCATTGGCTAGTCTTTATAGGAACTTCACCACGTAGATGATTCCCAGCACCTATGTGGCAGCTCAAGCTGTCTGCAGTTCCAGTTTAAGGGGATCTAACACCTTCTAGCCTCTCAGTTCGGCAGGCATGCATGTGGTGCACAGACATACATGCAGGCATAGTACCCATACAATAAAATAAAAATAAATAAATTAAGAATTTGTTGTCGTTTTTTCGAGACGGGATTTCTCTGTGTAGCCCTGGTTGTCCTGGAACTCGCTCTGTAGACCAGGCTGGCCTCAAACTCACAGAGATCTGCCTGCCTCTGCTTCCTGAGTGCTGGGATTAAAGGCATGCGCCACCACTGCCTGGCTTAAATTTTTTTTAAAGATTGTAATAGTAGGAATGGAGGAGGCAGAGATCCCTTGGTAGCCACTGAGAGATTCTACACTGGTGAGATAAAGACAGACCAGGGGCTTGCTGGCTACCCGATCAAAGACTCAAAAAAACAAGATGGGGCCAGCAGGGCGGTAAGGTAAGGGTGCTTGCTGCTGAGCCAGAAGGCCTGAGTTCAATATCTGGAACCTAAGTGGTAGCAGGAGAGAACTGAGTCTCATATTCAGTTCTCCGATCTCTATACCTGCGCTATAGTATGCACACATGCACACCATATATGTGATAAATACATGTATAAAATAAAATGAGGTAGATGTAGACGGTACCTGAAGAACACCTGAGGCTGACCTCTGACCTCTACACAAGTAAACACACAGAGAAACTGTGGAAACAGTCCCTAGGTACATCATCCCTCATGCCCCCCAAGAGTCTTCACCTCTCTGTCCACATTGTGTCTGAGCTGACACTGAAGTAGTCACACACAGGCAGGCAAATCACCCGTACACATAAAAATAATAAATACTAAACACACGCACATAAAATCTAGGCTCTCATATAACCCAAGCTGGCCTCAAACCCACAGAGACCTGCCTGCCTCTGCCTCTCGAGCGCTGGGACTAAAAGTGTGAGCCACCATGCCCGGCTTGGTTTTGTTTGGTTTGGGTATATGGAAACTTTGCTCCATTTGTGGCTGTGTACCACCTGAATGCAGTGCCTGAGGAGACATTGGATCCCCTGGAACTGGAGTTGTAGAGGGTTGTCAGCTGCCATGTAGGTGCGGGGAATTGAACCCCAAGTCCTCTGGAATAGCAGACAGTATTCTCTTGATTGTTTGTGGTGGTTTCTGTTTTGTTTTGTTGAGACAGGGATTCTCTGTGTTGCCCTGAGTGTCCTGGAACTTACTCTGTAAACCAGGCTGGCCTTGAACTTAGAGATCTACCTAGAATATGAGTTTGGTTTCATTTGTATTCTAACACAATTATTTTTAGTTAATATTAGTCAAACTCAAAGTAACTAGTTAAATTAGTTAGACTCAAAGTAATCATCCTGCCTCTGCCTCTTGAATGCTAGGATTACAGGTGGAGTCTAGACTATCTCTTGGGGATGATGAAAAATGTTCCAAAATAGATTGTGGACACAATACTATGAGTATGCTGGAAAACCACTGAATCCTATAGTGTTATAATTGCAAAGTATAAAAAAAAAGTGTGCATTCCATGGCTTAGGAATTGTCTCACTGAAACTCAAAGAAAATGATTCAGGGGGCTGGTGGGATGACTCAGCAGTTAAGAGCCGTGGCTATCAGATGTGGCGAACACCTTTAATCCCAGCAGAGGCAGGTAGATCTCTGAGTTCAAGTCCAGCCTAGTCTACAGATCGAGTTCCATTTCTACCAGGGCTGCACAGAGAAACCCTATCTCCAAAAACAAAAATTAAAAAAGTGCCTTGGCTGCTCTTCCAGAGGTCCTGAGTTCAATTCTCAGCACCCACACCGTGGCTTACAACCATCTATAATGGGATCTGATGCCCTCTTTTGGTGTACAGGTGCACATGCAGACAGAGCACTCTACATGAAATACATAAATAAACCTTAAAATTAAATTCATATTGGCTGGTGAAGTAATTCTGTAAGAATACATATTGCCCTTTCAGAGGACCCAGGTTCAGGTCCCACTACCCACATTATGCATCACACGACTTTATATTTATTCTGTTCTCCACATAGTAGGTGCTCAGTTAGTACATGTTGAAAAAAATCTTC